TGAGAGGGAGGGTGAGAGGGAGGGAGGGTGAGAGGGAGGGTGAGAGGGAGGGGGGTGAGAGGGAGGGGGGGAAGGAGGGTGAGAGGGAGGGGGGGTGAGAGGGAGGGAGGGTGAGAGGGAGGGTGAGAGGGAGGGGGGGAAGGAGGGTGAGAGGGAGGGGGGGTGAGAGGGAGGGAGGGTGAGAGGGAGGGTGAGAGGGAGGGTGAGAGGGAGGGAGGGTGAGAGGGAGGGAGGGTGAGAGGGAGGGAGGGTGAGAGGGAGGGTGAGAGGGAGGGAGGGAAGGAAGGAGGGAGGGAGGGAGCAGGAAAGCTCTCCTTGCAGGCCTCCGGCTTGTGTCTGTGTGGCTGCCCAGGCGCCTTGGGCATCTGCCCGAGGCTCCCACTCTGCTGCTGTCACCTTGAAATCCTCACCTTCCCTCCAGGAAGGCCACATTGACATCCTGCCTGGGCCAGGCTGTCACTGCCCGTGGGAGTGCCAGTGGCTCAGCCTCTGTGGATGGCGGGTGGTGCTGGTGTGAATCTGGAGTGTCCCCCAAAGCTCCAGTGCTCAGAGGTGGCCACCTAGGAGGTGCCTGGGTCACAAGAGCTCCAGCCTAACCGGTGGGTCCTTGGTGACAGTGGGCCCGGCTGCAGGACAGTTGGGGAGGTGGCCACTGGGTGTCTGGGCAGTGCTTTGCTGCTCTCACCCAAAGGCCTGACAAGAGCGATTTTAGAGGAGGAAAAGCTTATGGGGCTCCCGGCCTCAGAGTCTCAGTCCCCAGACGGCCAATGCCATTGCTTTGGGGGACACCTGACCGTGGGTGTGCCTGGAGGGGTCTCTCCTCTCTCTGGCGCCTCCCCTCCCTCTGCTCCCCAGCAGCCTGGAGCTCTGGGCCCCGCCCCCCGCTGTGATGCTTCTGCCTTGGAACAGCGGAACAGCGACCACCACGGGCCAGACCCCCGGAACAGCCGACCGCGGACCAGACCCCCGGAACAGCCAACCGCGGGCCAGACCTCTGAAGACCTCTGGCCAAAAGGAGCCTTTCCTCCCCCGAGTCGCTGTCCTATGTTGGACACCGTGGTGCAGAGCCGACTAACGGGGCAGCTTCTCAGAGTGCCAGGCACTCCACCAGGCACGTGCCAGGAGCACAGGAGGCTCCGGCACAGACGCTCACTGAGATGTCGGAGAAGCTTTATCTAATAGCCTCCGGTGGGTTCACCACAAATGTCCACTGATAGGCGGCGGCTGGACAAAGCATGGGCGTCCTGCAGTAGGTGGTAAAAGGAGCCCCAGGCCCGCCCAGTACACGGACAACTCTCAAGATGACAGAGTGAGAAGACCAGGACACCCTGTCCCTCCCACAGACAGCATGCGTGTGACCCATCTGTATCACACCAGGAGGTGCAAGCTGACTGGCGCTGAGGGGAGTGGCACAGGGTGGCCTTGCCGTGGAAGGGTGCTGCACCCGGGGTGGCGGTGGTGGCCTCGCGGCTGCACACGCCCATCAGACTTACCAGTGGGGTGCTGAAAGGATGCGGGCTTCATTGTATGTGAAACAACTGGTGGTAGCTGCTGGGACTACAGGACTCGCGCGCGCGCGCGCGCGCGCACACACACACACACACACACACACACACAAACACACACAGCACTCAGCCGTCTCCCCTGGCACAGGATTGCCAAAGCCACGTTCTTTAAAGGGACGGCAGCTCTCTCTCCCCCACTGTAGTCCATGAAATCCAGATAATCCCTTTTCTGAAACAGAGGGGTCAGTGTCCTGCCAAAGGGCAGCCACCATGAGTCTCCATCAGCCGGGCTTCGGGGAACTCAGCTGCTGCAGCGCCACAACTGAGGGGATCCTGAGGATGTCCACGCCTTCCCCTGCTCTGTCCCCATTGGCCACGTGGAGGCGCCCAAGAGCCACACTGGTGCAAGGGCAAGGGTCACCTGTCTGCTAAGCCCTCTTCTCTGCTGGCTGGAGGGAGCTGGGCCCTTTCGCTCCCTTGTGCAGTGAGCTGTTGACAGAGCTGCCTGTGAAGCCTTGGATGGGACAGGGTCAGAGGCCAAGCGGGAAGGAGGGAGTGGGGGGCCCGGGGACCCAGTATTTGAAAACATGCTCTGGCTGAGCCCTTTTTACAGAATCCCAGAGCATCTAGGGGTAGAGCAGGAGCTGCCTTTGTAGGCAGTCTAGGTCAGGGTCCCCGATGCCCCCACGACCACCCAGAACATGCTCACACACGCTCCTGCCCCAGTGTACCCCAAGCACCCTATATGACCTTGGCTGTCAATGTCACTTTGGCATTATGAGCTGCCGTGACACCCACCTCTGCCTCTTTAGCTGTGTGACCTAGGACAAATTATTTAGCTGCCTCTTCCTCCCAGGTGTAAACTGGGTGGTTGCAATACAGCCACCCAGCAGGGCTAGGGATGTCTGCATTCAACCAGGCTAACAAATTTCCAATGCTCTGAACAGGTGAGGAACTTAGAAAGTACTCAGTATACCAGCATTCAGCATTACCATCACCACCACCATCACCACCACCACCATCACCACCATCACCATCACCACCACCACCATCACCACCATCACGACATCACCACCACCATCACCATCATCACCAGCACCACCATCACCACCACCACCACCACCATCACGACATCACCATCACCACCACCACCATCATCATCATCACCAACACCACCATCACAACATCACCACCACCATCACCACCACCACCACCACCACCACGACATCATCACCACCACCATCATCATCACCAACACCACCACCACCACCACCACCACCATCACCGCCTTCACCATCACCACCACTACCACCACCATCATTACCAACACCAACACCACCATGACCATCACCACCACCATCACCACCGTCACCATCACCACCACCACCACCATCACCACCACCACCATCACCATCACCACAACCACCATCACCACCATCATCACCATTATCATCACCATCACCACCACCACCATCACCATTATCATCACCACCACCATCTCCAGCACCATCACCATCATCATCATCATCACCACCATCACCATCATCATCACCACCATCACTACCACCATCACCATCACCATCACCACCACCACCATCACCATCATCATCACCACCACCATCATCACCACCACCACCATCATCATCACCACCACCATCATCACTACCACCATCATCAACACCACCACCACCATCATCTCCACCACCACCATCATCATCATCACCACCACCATCACCATCACCACCATCATCACCACCACCACCACCACCACCATCACCACCACCACCATCACCATCACCACAACCACCATCACCACCACCATCACCATTATCATCACCATCACCACCACCACCATCACCATTATCATCACCACCACCATCTCCAGCACCATCACCATCATCATCATCATCACCAACAACAACACCATGGCCATCACCACCACCACCACCATCACCACCATCACCACCACCACCATCACCACCACCACCATCACCATCACCACCATCACCATCACCACCACCACCACCATCACCATCACTACCACCATCACCACCATAATCACCATCACCACTATCACCATCACCACCATCACCACCACCATCACTATCACCACCATCACCATCACTGTGATAATCACCATCACCACCACCATCACCATCACCATCACCATCACTGTGATAATCACCATCACCACCATCACCATCACCATCATCACCATCATCATCGTCATCCATACGTCGGAAGTCAGATGGCTAGATTTGAATCCTGCCTGGGTTGGTGACTCTGGAAGTCATACTGTAAGTGCCCCAGCCTCACACAGGTCCCCATTCAGACTGCCTGGATGTCAGTGTGCAGCAGCCCCTGCCCCACTGCTAAGTCCCATCCCGTAGGTCCATCTCACACAGACACACTGAGGCAGTCTCTGGAGAACCTCTTTCCTCCTCCACAGAGCAACTGCGTCTGGGCCAAGGGGGGCCCAGGCCACCTCAACACGGATTGTATGCAGAAGGGGACCAGCCCAAGCATCACCACCATCACCATCATCATCACCATCATCCAGGCCTGGGTGGGGGTCAGGGTGAGTGGTAGGCCAGGGTCAGGAAGCAGGCCTTTTTCCTGGGTCGGTCTGAGCAGAAACTGCAGCCACCCTCACCCTGCCACCTCAGCAAGCCTGCCCTGAGTGAAGGCCCAAGCCGTCCCAGTCTTGGAGCCGGGACCCAGGGGGTGAGGACAGAACTGTCAGTGACCATGGGCAGAGCTGGGGCCGCCACTCCAGCCCTGCAGGGCAGGTCTCTGGCCTCTGACCGCAGGTCCCTCCCCAGGGTGGGAGAGCCCTGGCCAGGCCCCCTGGGAAGTGCCTAGGGAGGGTCAGGCCCCACTGGCCAGAGCTCAGGGACCAGCAACAGCCTCCGACACGGTTGTGGGAGACGGAGGTCCAGGCCGGCCCTCCCTTCCAGCCTTCCCCATGACTTCACCTCGTTTTGTTATTTTATTGTCCTTTATTGGATCTGCTTCCCAGCTCCCAGGGGACCTGTCCTGGGCAGCGGGACAGGTCCCAGTGCGTCCACCAGCACAGCTGGCCCAGCAGAGAGTCTGTGAGGTCAACACACCCGCCATGTCCTGTCCCCACCCTTCCCTGGGGGCTGCCCACAGGCTCCGGGCCAGCAACGGGAAAGGAAGAAGGCCTTCCTCCCAGCACCCTCAGGGCTCCCATGCTGGCCAGGGGCCAGCAAGTTCCCACCGACCCCATCAACAGGTCAGGTCTAGGGGAGAAGGTGGCAGGGCCACACCCCAGGCCAGGCCTGACCTCTGACCCCTCCAAGCTGACCCGACCCCAGCCCCAAGGCAGAGCAGCACAGCAGGAGAAGAGAAGGCACACAGGGGCCTGCGGCCAGCAGTGTCCCATCCCCAGACTCCTCCGGGGCCTCCGGTTCCCGTCAGGAGGTGGCCTCTCTTCTCCGTGACCCTGAGGGTAGAAGCAAGGCTTCACCAGGATGGGGCCGGTGGGGCTTTATTGGGACACCTTAGCAAACTGTGCAAGGGCCACTCGGCGTCCACACTGGGAGCAGGGCAGACCACATGTGTGTCCACCCTTTGCTGCTGCTCCCCAGGGAACAGGTCTGGCTGTCCACCACCACCATCACCACCTGAGTCCCTCCCAGAGGTGGCTTTGGTCTGGCTGTCCCTGTGGGCTCCCATCGGGCTGGATCCAGTAGCCTGCTCCCGAGGACAGGAGGAAGAGGGGGGTGAGGTCAAAAGGAACACCCTCAGGAGCGGCACTGGCAGAGGGGCACTCGCAGAAGCCACCGACGTCTTCCAAGCCTCCACAGCAGGTGTCCCGCCTGCTGGCACCAGGGCGGGGGGCTCCATTCTCAGCCTGAGATGAGAGAGGGCAGGGAGGCTGGACAGAGAAGCCATCTAGGGAGCGGCAGGACCCGCAGGACCGGCGCTGAGGCTGCAGCATTCCTAAGGTACGGCCCTCATGTCCGCGGCTCTTCCTGCGCTCCAAGGAAGGTGCGGGGCGTCCACGTCAGCAGCAGATGCGGGTACTGAGGAAGTGGGCCTGCCAGACCAGGCTTCAGGGCAGCGTCCCGCAGCCTGAGGCTCCCTGGCAGCCCTGTGGGGAGGTAGAGTCTTTAGCCCTTTAGCAGAGCAGGAAGCGGAGGCTGCGGGAGGAAGTTGCTCCCCCAGGCAGGAATTAGGAGGCAGGGAGGCCCCAGCTGTGCGAGCCTAGAGGACGGCCCATGGGAGGAGTCAGGACTTGGGGACCCCCACTACCTCCCTGGAACACCCAGCGAGTAGGAAGGCACCCAGAGAGCTTGCTCGGCACCCCACCGCCCCCGGGGCCTGGCCCAGCTGGTGTCTGAGCACCGGGCCAGCCTGCAGCTGCCCAAACACCCCCGGGGCAAAGGCTTGTTATCCTTGAAAGCAGGGAGCACAGTGACGCATCCAAATTCCTGCCCAGGTGAGTGGCCTGGGCTTGTCCTGCCCGCCTGCCGCCGGCCCGCCCCAGGCCCTGGGCTGCCCACCCTGCCACTGCCTCCCGCCAGCAGGACCAGAGGACTATCCCCTGAGCGCCAGGCCTAGCTAAAGGGCACCTGGGTCCCCGTGGGCTTGCCTGCAGGTGCCCACTGTGGGGTCAGAGGCCGCCCTGGGCCCTAGGCACAGTGCACTGAGCTTGAGGACCACTTGCCTCTGCCAGCACCTGTGCCAGCGCCCTGCTGGGCCAGGCTGGGCAGCAGGGGAGGGAAAGCAGGGGCTGAGGGGACAGCCCAGCCACTGTCATGCCACCTGGCCGTGCCTGGGGGCCCAGGGGCCACACTGCAAGTCCATGAGCATACAGCCGAGCATGTCACCTTGCTCCAGCATTTCCACTGCTGGTGCCCCTGGGCCAGCGCTTCCTGTGGTGGTGTGCCTACCCCACATGGCAGCCTCAGTGACTATGTGGCCAGGGGACACCAAGGTCCCCCCCCCCAAGAATTCCCCAGGCTTAGCCAGGAAGGGCCTGAGCTCAGCTTGGGTTGAGCTGAGGCCAGGCCACTCCTGTGCCTCCACTGTCTGGCCGGGGCTTTGTGCGGCCCCTGCTGCCTGGCCACTGCGTCCCTCCAAGGAGCACTTCTCCAGGGCTGGGACCCTCTGGACACTCACTAGTGCTACCTGAGCACCTCCTGTGTCCATCCCTGTGTGGGCACAGATGCCCTGCAGCTGTAGCACAGACGGCATCTCTGGGGGCCTGGGGTGTCTCATGGGGCAGGTTTCCCAGGACATGTGGCCAGTCAAGGTTGTCATAGCCAGGGGCAAGTGCTACGGCCTCCAGCCAGTGGGGGCCAGGGCTGTCGCTCAACCCACAGGGTGCAGGCCGCCCGCTACGTTGCGGAGCTTGCGTTGGCCGAGGTGGTCAGCAGTGCCTGCTGGAAGGGTGTGGTCTGTGTCCTTATGCAGTCTTCGGGTCAGGCGGGTACTCTGCCTCCGAGCTGCACCCAGCCCGGGGGGGTTGAAGGGTCATGGCCACATGAAGGGCTGTGTGGGTGGGTGGTCAGGGAAGACGTCTCTGAGGAGGTACTGAGTAAGAGACCTGAGGTGGCCCCATCGCTCCCCACAGGCCACCCCACAGCTGTCAGAGACAGGAGGGCCCGAGCGCCCTGGACACAGCACGGCCCAGGCAGCGGAGCCTGGTGCCAGGTCTGGGGAATTCCCGGAGCAGGCCTCCCACGGGCTGGGCTGCGTCCCTCCAGCTGGGTGGGCCAGGAGGGGGCTCTGAGCAGCCCGGGGAGGGGGAGACCCCCAGTCTGTGCCAGCCTCCTGGGGGACCCAGTAACCTCCCCAGCTCCTTCCAGAGCTCGATTTCATGGAGCTGGAGCTGGGACCTGGCTGAGGACACCAGGGTCAGTGTTGACTGGAGAGCGTGGGGCAGTGCCCTCCTGGATTGGGATGCAGGTCAGGGAATCCTCGGCCCTGTGAGGTGGCAGCAAGAGCTTTCCTGACCAGTGGTGTCACCTGGCAGGGACAGGGCCATGTCACCCTGTGCAGCTGGCCTCTCTCATCCTCAACCTCTCATCCATGAAGCTGGGGTGGTTAAGAGCAGCTACTCCGAGGGGACTGACCGTCACATCAGGAGATGCACGCAGAGGGCTCCGTTGCCCACCTGGGGGCTCCGGAGTCTGGTCACATCACACAGCAGGCCCAGATGGAGCTAGGAGCAGGGGCCAGCAAGTGACTAGGCATCCCAGCCCTGACCTCACTGTGGGGGATACCTGACGCCCTGCAAGAAGGAGCCTGGGCCCCTAGTGGACCCCATCACCCTCTGCAGCTGGCAGGAACATCCTGAGTCTCCGTGGGTTTACATTCCCTGAAAATGTCCCCCCAGGAGAGCCACAGGACAAAAGCCTGGAGCTGGGCCCCGCCCTTCCCCTGGGGCAGGGGCCCAGCTGAGCTCCAGGGGACCCCTCACTCCCAGCTGCACAACAGTGCAACTTGTCTCCAAATAGCTAACCATGACAGATATGGCCCTTAAGCAGAGACCCAGGCCAGAGGGACCCCAGCTGGGGGCACAGGGCAGGTGACTCTCAGCCCCCATCGATCACCGAGGTGGGAGGGGTCTGGGCCTGCCCGTGCCCCTGCCTCCTGTCTCCTGCTGCCGTGACTCAAGGCCAGGGCAGGGGCACAGCATCTGCTGCCCGGCGGGTTGGCAGGAAGGTCAGTCTGGGGACATGCTGGTCTGAAGCACAGTAGCCAGGCAGGGCCTGGGGGCCGGCTGCAGAGGGCCCAGGCAGCTGCAGCCCACCTTCCTCTCACCGCCAGAGCTCACCCCGTGAGCACGCACCTCCCAGCCCCTGGGGCCTGTGACTCCCAGGCAGGGGCGGGGGCAGCACCCCAGCCTCCTCAGCTCAAGTCGGGGCTGGGGGCTCGGAAGCTCCTTGCTCAGGGCCACACGGGCAGCAGCTTAGCACAGCGCGTGAGGGACAGTGGGACACGCGTAACTCCTCATGGTGTCCCAGGGCCTTGTGGCAGCGGTGCAGTTGGGGCCTGTCACTTTGGGGACCCAGCCCAACACTGCAGGGGCCACCCAGGACCCAGGACCCTGCCACTAAGCTTGGCAGCTCAGGGGCAGTAGGCGGAGGAACAGGGAAGGACAGAGACTGAGAGACAGACAGACAGGGGACAGAGAGCAGTCTGAGGGAGCCCCTGGAGAGTGAGTCAGGATAGACAACGTGGGGGGCCACGGGGGGGGGGACCCTGGCACTGAGCAGGGGCCGCTGGGCCCAAGCAGAGGGTGAACCCCGTGGGGCGTCAGTGTGGCCCGGGAGCCAAATGGCTGTGGCGCTGCTCTTGCAGGTGTAGGTGGGGGCCTGCTCCCCCCATGATGAGGGACCTCCCGGAGCTGCCCGTGTCCCCTTCCTTCCCTCCTAAAGTTGGGGAGGGGAATGGCTAGGCCAGCTATCACTCGTGACCATTGGCCCAGGAGGCCCCGGTTTGTGGGACTTTGGAAGCCATCAGCTTACCAAGCCCTGGCCCTGCCCGCTGGGCCTTGCTGGGGGGTGACATTCCTCCTGGGCTCCAGGCCTCCTGGCCATATAAGGCTGCCTATGGGCACCTCTTGGAGAAGCAGAGCCCTCCCCACCACCCTGTGGGAACCAGATTTGGCCAGGCCCCCAGGATGGGGGAGGGGCCTGCTGGAGCCTGGGTCCTGGGGGGGAGGGCACAGGCCAGTGGGGCCCCGGGGCTGGACACAGGGTCCCTGGGTGCCACTGGCCTCCCACTGTGCTGGAGCCCCCTCCCTACCCAGGTCCCCCACAGGTCCTAATCTGGAGAAGGAAGGTGGGGAGGGGCGGGAGGAGGACCCGGGAGGGAGACCAAAGGTTAAATAGGATAAAACTGTATGCGTTGTGTTGTGTGTGTGCTGGGGAGGGCTAACAGGGTGTTGCCCTTCCTGGGGGCCTGGAGGACCAGATCCCCCAACTAACACCCTCTGGATCCCCGACCTGGGCTAGGTCCCAGGAGTAGCCTCCTCCCTGGAAGGAACAGGCCCTTTCTCTCTTGGAGCTGGGGGGGGGGGGCGCTGTCCCCAGGCCACCTCCTTACTGGTGGGTGTGTCTCTCAGGCCAAGGGCTGGGGACAGGAGGGGAAGTGTCAGAATGGACCCATGGGGATCAGGGCTCCCTGGTGAGGGTCCTGCTGGAACCAGGCTTGCTCTGAAGCCCTCCCCAGCTGCAGGGCCCTCTGGCCAGGAGCAGGTGTGCCCAGCGGCCAGACCTCCATCCCAGGCTCTCTGCCTGCTTGCTGCCAGACAGGTGGCTGGTCTCCTAAGATCCCCAGGCTCCTCTGTTGTAAAAACTGAAACAGCAACCGAGCTGTGTGCAGTGTCCGGTGGAAGGTTCCGAAGAGCCACGGGGCCCCTGAAGGGTCAGATGCCCTGTGAGCTGGACACACCCTGCAGGCAGAGGCAGAAGGATGGAGTGGAGTCTCTGAGAACCTGGCCCCAGGTCAAGTGGTGGGCAGGTCAAGGCCTCCATTCCTGATGACCATCAGCCCAGAGCCCCAGCTCCCGGGGTCAGGCTGGCTCTCAGTGCAGGGGCCAGCTGAGAGCCGTGGCACACTCCTCAGGGGCAGAAAGGGCCACCAGAGGGCAGAAGCACTGATTTGCTGGGCTGAAGACAACTGAGGAGACCTCCCAGCTCATCAGTCCTCCTCTTAGAGGACAATGCTGGACCATGCCCACAGCAGCCTCTGGAACCTGCCCCACGGCTCCCTCCTGGCTTCTCTGCCCCAAAGACAGGTACAGAAGTCCCCACCGCTGGCTCCTGGAAGGGCATCAGGGCAGCCCTGAGAAAGGGGATGTGGCCTCTAACACCCCAAACTCCGGCTGCCCTGGAGCCGGAGAGGCGGAGAGTCCTTCTCTACCCGGCTGGGGAGGTTTGCCTCTGGATCTGCAGTCTTCCTTTGCAGCTTGTGACACCTGGCCATGCCGTGGAGGGGTGTCCCCAGAGGTTAAGGGTTGAGTCAGATGTCCTGTGCCCCGCCTGATCCCCGACAGCTGTCCCAGGTGGGCCATGTGGGGCTGAGGCTCTTCCAGGAATGCCCTTAGAGGGTCAGCAGGGGCTCTAGTGAGGGGGCTGTCCCCAGGACAGAATCACTTGGCTCAGGGGCCCCTGTCCTAGGGCTGGGGGATGAGCTGCCAGACCTTTTCCCCTCGGGAGTTGTCACTGACTTCTGCCTGCCCCCAGGTCCCTTGCCACCTGGGGCTGGTGGGGGCGGGGCCTGGCAGGACAGGGATGAGCCGCCTCCACACCTTTCCTGGCCCCTCTCCTGCCCGCCTCAGACAGGGCGCTCACCCCTGTGGAGCTGGGACAGAAGGCACTGGGCACTGGCCGAGTGCGGGGAGGAAGGAGACCACACTGGGACTGATGGGGGAACAGGAGGGGCTGACCCACGTGTGCTCCTGACCACCCTGGTCCTTCTGGCTAGGTTCAAGGAGGAAGGTGGCAGGTGCCCATGAGTGGGGGGGAAGGCAGGAGAGTCAATGGCCCCTTTGGTGATGATCAGGCAGCTGGCCAGTCCACGGGTGGGGGGGACGAGACCCACCCCTCCCCCTCTCTGCCTGGGCCTGTATGCTGCCCCTGGGACAGTGCCTCCACCTCCCCCAGCCCCTCCGAAGCCCTGGCACACTGGAGGGCCCAGTGTAGGGGCAGAGCATGCCACCCCACCAGCCCTCTTGTCACACTGCCCTCAGCCCACTCATCCGCCCCTGCCAGCCACCAGTTACTGGGCAGCTGTCTGCTGGGAAGCAGCAACTCAGGCTGACCCTCCAGGTGCCATTGGGGCAGGCTGACTCAGCGCATTCCCAGGCAGCCTGCCCTCCCTCTGGCCTGGCCAGTGCCCTGGGATGGCAGAGGCCTGGACTGGCCACTAGGAGGCTCAGGGGCCCTGAGCCCAACCTCTGTCTGTCCAAATCTCTGGCGACTCAAGTTCTCAGAAGCCTTGCCAGATCTTGGCCTGGGGAGTGGTCCTCAGCCTCTATTCCCCCAGGCTGTCAGAGCCCTAGCTGTCAAGAGGGGCCCACAGGGCCAGAGAACACTGCCCAGTGTGTGTGTGATGGGGAGGACCTCTGGGCAGTACTAAGGGAGGGGCCAGCCAACCCCCCATCTGGGTACCAGCTACTGCCCCAGCTGTCCCTTGCTGGGGATCAGAAATCAGCTCCTGAGCCAGCCTGCCAGGACTCCGGATTCCTCCAGGTCTTCCGCCCACCCATCCTCCCCGCCCCTCCTCCACTCCCAGCTTTGGCTAGAGAATGGGCCTCCGTGCCCCACCCCCCAGGTGGGAGAACTAACAGGTTAGGGAGGAGCCAGTAGGGAAAGCAGGAAGGCTCCCCGCAGCCTGTGTCCAAGCTGTGTCCACACAGCTCCTGGGGATTTGAGATTTGTAGGTGGCCAAGGGTGGCCAGGACACTGTGGATGGTGGTACAACCTTCCGATAGAGCTGCCAGCTCAGGATTCCCACCAGGACATGCTGGCCAGCACTCCACAAATTCAGCAGCGCCCCCGAGATGGTCCAGGGAGCCTTCAGCCCAAGAGAGGCCAGGGCCAGCTGGCCTGGCTCAGAGACCAGGAGCTGCCAGCCCAGCAGCTGCATCCCCACCCCCACCCCCTGAGGGCTTCCCTCAAGGCCAGTTTGGCCCAGGAACCCAAGGGGAGGAGACCCAGTAGCTGCAGCCACCCCAAAGCAGAAACCGGAACACAGGGCTGGGGATGTGGCTCAAACAATAGCGCGCTCGCCTAGCATGTGTGCGGCCCAGGTTCGATCCTCAGCACCACATACAAAGATGTTGTGTCCGCCAATAACTAAACAAATAAATAAATATTTAAAAAATTAAAAAAAAAAAAAAAGAAAAAGAAACCGGAACACAGCCCTGAGATCTTTGCCTAGTGTCCTTCAGCTGCAGGCATGAGCAGGGGAGTGGCCCTGAGCATGGGTCCAGGGTCCCCCGGAGAACGGGAATCCAGGGTGCCGGGAAGCACAGGTGCTCACAGGCACCCAGCCACACTCAGTAGAGAGCCCGTGTTAGCATCCCCGGTCCACTTCCTCCCTCCCCATTCCCCTACTGGAGTATGGGACAGGCAGAAGCCGGGGGCTTACTCTAGACTGGCTGCCCCAGGAAGCAAGGGGGTTTCCAACTGGACTCTCACTGTCCCCCTGCAGATGAGGATCCTTCCAGGGCACCCACCCTTGGCCCCTCACAGGTAGCAGAATGCACCTTCCCGGCACACGCGCAGAATGGGGCGACTCGGCAGGGCAAGGGCAGCAGGCAAGTTCTCAGGAGCCCCTCAGGTGACTGAAGTTAGGGAAACAAAGGGGGGATGCTGGACGGGGAGAGGCAGGCCCCTGCGCGCTGTGGTTGGGGCACCCCAGCAGGGTCCCATCTGGGGTCCGGAACCACGGCCTCGGGGAGCAGGGAGGCGCTGCGGCACCAGATCCTAGGGCCTGGACCCCGGCCAGCAGGTGCCCCTTCCGGTAGGCCGCCAGGGCCGGGGTCTGAAGGGTTAAGGCCGCCCGGCGCCCCTCCCCCTGCCCCCTCTCCCCCCAGCCCTCTCCCGGGGGCACGGGGCTCGGGCTCCCGGGCGGGCCGGGGCGGGGCCTGACGTCTGCAGGCGGAGCGAGCCGGGCCGGCCACCGCGCTTCAGACCCGCCGGGCTCCCGCCGGGTGCGCTGTCCCTGGAGCACCGAGGCACTGTCCGGAGCCGGAAGATGGCTCCGCGGGACGCACGGCTCCGCACCCGGAGCGCACTGGGCGCAGGCAGCCCCCGGGGTCCCACGCCACTGCTGCTGGCCGGATTGGTGCTGCTGGGCGCGGCGCGGGCACGGGCCCCAGAGGACGGCGACTTCAGCCTGCACCCGCCCTACTTCAACCTGGCCGAGGGCGCCCGTATCTCCGCGTCCGCGACCTGCGGCGAGGAGGCCCCGGCGCGCGGCCCCCCGCGCCCCACCGAGGATCTCTACTGCAAGCTCGTGGGGGGCCCCGTGGCCGGCGGGGACCCCAACCAGACCATCCAAGTGAGCGCGGGGCGGGGGAGTAGGGGACACCGTCCCGAGGCTTTCGGGACCAGGGCGCACCGGGCTTGGATCCGGAACTCAGCCCGACTCCTTGGGGAGCGCCATGGGCGGGGAAGAGTCCAGGTACCGACTCTCCCGCCGACTCCCTGGCTTAGCATCTCGGGGGACCGAGAGAGACCCCAACCCGGCCACTCAGGCTCGGACGGGAAACCGCGTCCCTCCGGAAGGACCAATGAAGTGTCCTTGTGAACTTGGGGGCTGCGGGGGACGTTCAGTTCGGTGGCGGTGAGCCGGGAGGGAGGGTGCTGGTGCCTAGTCCCTGGCAGCCCTAAGTCCGGGATCCCGGCGAGGGCGGGACTTGGCTGCCTGTGGGGAGGGGGCGGGCGGCTCCGCCCTCCCCCGGGACAGGCTGGAACCTGCTGGCCTCCGGATGGGGACGGGGTGAAGGCGGGAGGGGCCAGGGGCCCTGCTCAAGTGTTGGGGCCCTCATTGCCATCATCCTAGGGTTGAAGCCTCCCCTGCCCTCCCCCGCCCTCCCCCGCGGTGGGCAGAGGACCTGGGTGGGACATCCAGGTCAGGGAAGGCAAGAGCCCAAGCTTTCACTGGGAGTGGAACACCTGTGGGCAATGCTCTGAGCCTTGCTGCCCAGCAGGCGGTGGGTCAATCCCTGAAGAGCTCTGGAGGTTTTTCCCCAGGTGGTGAGCCTTTGGTGGGTCCAGTTTCTGGCCCTGTGGTTGGACCCCAGCCAGGACAGTAGGGTCGAACAGGTCTTCTGGATTTAGGTTGGGGCTGGGTCAGCCTAGGGGACAGGCAAAGTCTGCTCCAGGAACTCTTTGATAGCCCACCCTGAGTCAAATTCCAGGTGCAACCTTAGCCTCTTCCAGGGACCTTGGTCCACCCTTCTGGAAGGAGATGACCAGGGGTCCCACCCTTGGGGAGGAAGGCGCTGAGAGGTGGCCAGCCCCCTGTGCCCCTGGGCCCACATGCATTCTCTTCAAGCCCAACACAGCTCTAGGCGTTGGAGGGTGGAGTCCACCCTTCAGGTGGGGAAACTGAGGCCTGGAAGGGTGTAGTCACCTGCCTGAAGCCCCAAAGCCAGAACTGGGTCAGCTGCAGAGAGCCACAGTAAGCCTTCTGCCTGGGTTCCCATACTGCATCTGGTTGACATCAAGGGTGCGGGTGTCAAGATAGAGAGCCTGCGGGTCCCTCCGGACCTGCCCCAGGGGCCTGGCCAAGCTCCCCAGGACTCTCCTCTGCTCAGCTGGGAGTTTGCACTGTACCAGGGAGGGCCCAGTCACTTCCAGATCCCAGACCACTGCCCTACTGCCAGCAGTGCTGCCTGGCTGGGGACCACTGCTTGTATGTGTCCCCTCATGGCTGCTGTCACCTCTGCCTAGTGCTTAGGCCTAGTCCTCTGGGGTCAAGGCCCCTCCCCCGCCTCTCCTTAGCTGTGTTTCCTCCGAGATTCAGTTCCTAGTTGGTGGGTGACGAGATTCAGTTCCTAGTTGGTGGGTGACGCACACCTTGCCTGAGGCTGGGAGCCTGGCCTAGAGCCTGGAAGACAGGCGTACAGTGACCACTCGACAAACCTGGGTCTGGCTTTCTGTGATGGCATGGGCTGTGCCTCACCCATGCATGGCACGCAGAGGCGTCTGCAACACTGGGCCATTAGTGACCCTGCTCCAAGGTCACATGGCTGACAGGACCACTGTGACCTCGGAAACCTTCTTTTCTGAGCTCAAAGGCCTCAGATTCCCTGCCTCGGATGGGTCAGTGATGGGCCTTGCCCACAGCACCTGGCTGGGTGCTCTAGGCAGGTGGGCATAGGTGTGGAGGACAGGAAGCCACAGCTGCTCTTCCATCCTATGAGCAGAGCCTGCCCCAGTGTGGGGTGGCAGTCCCATGGTGGCAGGGATGGTGGAGGAGATGGGTCATACGGAGGCTTGGGGCATCTCACCTGGGAGCCTGGGTGCATCCTGCTGGGCCTCTGGACAAGGCAATGAGTGGGCAGCAGGGACTTCCACCTTCTCTCTCTCAGGTAGGCATCCGAGGAGCCCAGGCTGGCCTGGGGCCAGACTAGAGGTGACTCACTGGAAGGGGAAGTCCTTATCAGTGTCTTGCTGTTTCCTAGCTCTGTTCCCAGCAGGACCCTCTGCTGTGGCAGAGGGCTGAGGGAGCCTGTTTCCCAGCTCTGTCCACTGTGAGCCAACCCAACAAAGAGGCCATCAGGGAGGCCCTGGCTACTACCTGGAGCTCCTGCTGTGGATTGCTGCTGAGTGGGACCAGGGCCATCTCTCCCTGGCCCTCCAGACCACCTCTGCTGCTGGCAGGGCTGAGCATGTGCTTCCTGGGCTCCTGGAAGACCCTAACCTTTGACCCTGGGCCCAGCCTCCCTGGGTCAGCCAGCTCGGCTGCATGGTGCTCCCAGGGAGGCCCTGGGCCCTTTGCTCAGCCCTGGCTCAGCAGGCCAGGGAGCCCTGGGTTCCAGTTTGGGGTCACCGTTTAAGCTTAGTGGTGTGGCTCATGCAGGCCCCCACTGCCCTAGCTCCTCCGTGTGGCCGCTCTCGGGGGTGGACTGGGCCGTGGCAAGGAGTGAGGTCCAGAACTCTGGGCCTCAAGGGAAGTAAGGCCTCCAGTGGGGACTAGCCAGAGAAGTCGCAGGGTGGAGTAAAGCACTGAAGCCTGGCAGGGTGTGGGTCAGCACCTGGGTGGTCCGGAGTGCAGGCCCGTCTCCAGCAGGGTTAGTCTGCCCACCTCCCTCAGCCCCAGCCTGGAGCCTGGGAGGACAGCCACCCAGTTTCCCAGGCTGGGCCTCAGTCAGTGTGAGTCTCCAGGGCTGCCTTTGTGTGCAGAGGGACAGCAGGTCTGGTTTCCTTGTGGGGGTGGGTTCCACTGGCCTGCAGCCAGGGCCCTGCCCCTCCCCCACCAGGGACAGCAGGACAGGCTCCTAGTGGAGCTTCCTCCTCGTCCCCCAGCAGGTGGTTAGACCATGACAGGAACAGTTGCCAGCCCTGAATGTGATCTGTTAATCCTTGTTCAGCCAGAGGCAGGTGCAGCGTCCTCCCCACTCTGCAGATGGGGACACTGAGGCTCCATGGTGTGGTCGCCATGACTTACTTGGCCCTGTCCCAAGCTGGAGGCCCAGGCTGCACCTGCCGTGGCGCCCACACCTGCCCTCTGAGCCTGCCTCCCAGGCTGCCCCTGGCTGGAGGAGGACCCTAGTCCAGAGGGCTCTGTGTGAGAGTTGGGCAGGGGCGTGGGAGACAGGTTGGTGGAGCCAGCGCCTCTCTCCCACCCTCCTGGCCACCAGACGCCCTCCCCGACAGGTGAACTTTCTGTCTGTGGCTCTTCCCCCACTGACCCTGCCCAGGCCCTCTGGCAGGGTGCAATGGGCAGGCCACCTGCCTGCAATCGTCCCCTGGAGGTCTTCTGTGGTGCTGCCTCCTCAGCCCCAGCCTCGCCTCCCCCCTGAGCCCTGCCCCTGCCCCTGGTCTTCCTGTGACCATCTCATGTGAACCGCAGCCTTTAACCGGAAAGTGGCCGCACTCCCTGGCCCTGGGGACAGGTCTGGAGGTTGTGGGTGGAGCTGCTGTGCTGGGACCCCGGGACCCTCTCCTGGCCGTCTGACCCTCCTCTCCCTGTAGGGCCAGTACTGTGACATCTGCACAGCTGCCCAGAGCAACAAGGCACATCCTGTGAGCAATGCCATTGACGGCACCGAGCGCTGGTGGCAGAGCCCGCCGCTGTCCCGCGGCCTGGAGTACAACGAGGTCAACGTCACCCTGGACCTGGGCCAGGTAGGTCCCTCTGGGCCTGTGCGGCTCCCACCCTGCTCCTCTGCCACAGGCTTACCTGGGGCACTGACAGTGAGGAAATGGTCCCAGGGCTGGTGGCCAGGCCCAGACAGGCCTGCGGGGGGAGGCCAGCACCTGTGAAGGCAGCAGCGCACCTTGGTTTTCTCAGTGTCCCTGGACACAGGGAAGGAAGGGCCAGTGGGGGAGGTGTGTGGCAGGGGCGGGCAGAAGTGCTGGGGCCTGGTCCCCTGGTGCTCTGGGCACCCTGGTGTTTACTCTGAGGAATTCCTGGCGGCCGTGGGAGGGGCTGCAGGAATGCCAGAGGCCTGGCTGAGGTGGACATTCCTGGAATACCTGTGTCCTGGCCTGGTGGCCTGAGGGTAGGTGGGCGCACACAGGCCTCTAGTTCCCATCCATCCTTAGCCCCAGGCCCCGTGCAGGCAGGTGGGTGGGGCCTGGTGCTCCTTGGAGATGAGTCAGCCCCATAAGGGGGACAGGGCCTGGGACCTTGAGAGGCTCCATTGTGTCCTCCCCTAGCCCTGGGGTCCTGGCCTGTGACATGGGCCAGCAGCACTGTTCTTCCCTGGGCGTAGGAGTGAGGAGGTGGTGCCAGAGCCCGCAGACCTACCCTGCATGCCCAGAGCCTGTGTCCTGGCCTGCTTTCTGCCGTCCTGCGGTGTGACCCAGGACTCTTTTCTGAGTCTGTCCCCCCCACAACCTAAAGGTGTTGGGAGGTGACCAAGTCTCCTGCATGCAGACTCCTGCAGGCCCGCTGAAAGGACAAGCCCCAGGCAGGTCCCCGCTGCCTGCTTCTGGCAGCACATGGACCCAGCCCGGCAGGGCAAGTGTGCTGGACTCCCAGTAGGTGGCTTGGGATTGCCAGAGGGACCTGGTTTTGCTGTTCTGTCCCTGCTGCCAAGGTGGGGAGGAGAATGGGGAGGGGCTGACCATCAGTCATCTCACTGGTTTTCACCGTCTAGTCTCCCTGTCGCCTAGGGAGGCTTCAGCAGCCCCAGTAGGACCCTGGGGCACCCTAGTCTCTGGCACAGGGTCGGGCAGTTCAGTGTGTGAACTCTCACCTGCTGGGGGCTGAGGGGTCTTCCTTCCTCCCAGGGACCAGCCCGCCTGGGCTGGGGGAGGGAGAGGGCCTGGTCTCCATGGCAACCTGGGTGGACCAGGTGGGAGCACTGAGGGTGGGCTCTGAAGCCTGCTGGCCTCTCTTGTGTGAGTGGCACCTAGAGATCTGCCTTCAGAGTCCTCCTGGCAGGGAGAGGGTCCACTGCATGGACATCTTCCTCTCTGGGCCTCGGTTTCGCCAAGTGTAGGGTGTAGGGAAGTGTTCAGGAAGAGGCCACCCCCCTCCTCCCTCCCCCCTCCTCCCCCACCCAGCCATCTCCTGTCTACCCTTCTCTGTCTGGCTAGATGCGTCCACCAAGGCCTCTGTCTTGGCTGGCCCAGGGGCTACCAGTCTTAGTGGGGGCCTGGAGCCCTGCCTTGTCCCAGCCATTTCTGAGGTGGGGGGGGGCTGTGGACCCAATTCCAGTTCTATTGCTGGGGGAAGTTCTTCCTGGGGTTTGGCACCACGGGGGTGGGCCCATCCTTGGAGATGCCGTTGGCCCTGGGCTGGGGCTGGGGCTGGGGCTGGGGCTGCGTCAGGAAGCTGGGCTCGGCCGCTGCCTTTGTTCTGGGATTGGAGCGGATGCCCTGGGAAGGGGCGGGGGCGGCTGGCACTGGCACAGGCCTGCTTCCTGCACCTCACAGGCCTGGGAGGTGGGCTGGCCGCCTGGACACTTCTGTCTCACACCCCTGTGGGTGGGACCCAAGGGCTCTCACACGGGGCAGTGGGGCAGTCCCTGTGGCCTCTGTCTGGGAACAGCCTGTCTCTGGACAGGACTCCTGGAGGGCCTGGGCCTGGTGACTCTTTCTGCAGGGGAGTAGCCCCAGGAAGAGGCTCCCGATGGTGCCTGGTGACTCAGGAGCAGTTTCCTGAGACGCAGCCTGACCTGCCTGGGGCTCAGTGGGGGTTCTTGTGCATCTCCTTGTTCTTCTGGAAGCTTCTAGGGCTGAGTGGTCAGATGACTGGCCCAGATCCTCATGCAGCCCTGAGTCCAGGCAATGGAAAGCTCCTGTCAGGGCTCGGGCCAAGAGGCAAAGGGTCCTGGCTTGAGTGTCCATCTCTGGGCTCTGCCACAGGGTCCCAGGTCCTTGTCCTCCACCCACACGCCAGCCCAGTAGGCCCAGTTCCTGCAGAGTGGGCAGAGGTGAGCTGGGCCGGCTCTGGCCTGTGCCCCTCCCTCTTCAGACGCCCCCCTGGGTGACCAGGCCAGCAGGGACTCTCCCCGGCAGCCCCTCCCTTTCCTCAGGTTGGGTCAGATAAGCAGTGGAAAGTACTTGGGCCCTTCCTGGCAGGGTGGCCCTGGCTTTGACCCTGCTGCCTGCAGTGGCTCAGGGGAAGTAGCAGGCTTGTCCCAGCCCTGTCCCAGCCACAGCTGCAGAACAGGCTGGGGGGCTAGGTGGCAGGTAGGGGTCAGCAGCAGAGGGGCTTGAGGGCTAGCCCTTGGGATGTGGGCGTGGCGGTTGGATGTGAGGCCAGGGTGCTGGCGGAGGGCTGGAAATGTCAGGGAGGCTTTGCCCCCAAGGTGGGACCTGCTGGCAGGAGGAGGAGGCAGGGACGGGAGGGGTCAGCTGTGCCCCAACCAAACAGGGTCGCTGCGGGGCACAGCTCTGGCGAAGCTCCTGACCATGGCGTGAGTGTCCTCCCTGGGTACCTGGGGACGGAGGCACAGCACCAGTGTGGCGTGTTAAGATCCCAGGCTGTTGTCGAGGGAGACCTTGGGCTTGGCTGTGGCTGGTCCCTGGACCCCTCCTCCCGGGCTGTCTTCCACAAGCCAGGGAGTGAGAACACGGGGCTCGGTGGGGTGCTGCCCTGGCTGTCGGGGTGTGCCCTTAGGCCCAGCCCGACCTGCCCACCTTCAGGACGGGTGGCTTGGGCTCCTGGTCCCAGTGCTGAAGGCCTGGTGGTTACAAGGTAGAGGCCACTGGCATGTCCCTCAGCCGGGTGCTTGGCCACGTGGCCAGTGCCCTAAGACCATCAGTGGGTTGTCGGGAGGTGACAGGAAACGCAGCTGTGACTGGACTTCAGTTTCAGAGCGTGGCAGCATGGACAGTGTGCGGCTAGGCTGACCCTGGCTCTTCCAGCTGGGTTCTTGTGGGGGTCCCTGGCTACCCTGAGGCAGCAGCCCCTCCCCCTGCCTCTTTCCTCAGGAGGGTTCCTGCCCCTTCCTGTCCCCTCCCTCTCCCTGTCACCCAAAGGAAGACCTGGCCCAAGGGGCTCTTGTGGCCTTTCTCCCCAGCCTGTGCCTCCTGCTGCTACCTCAGTGACCCTTGGTAGCCCTAAGCAGCCATCCCCTGCAGCTGTCCCCATGTCACAATCCCAAACAGCCACACCCTGTCCAGCCACCCCACACAAGGGCGCTCTGCTGGACGCAGGCTCTGCAGACCCTGGAGGCTCCCAGGGCTTCCTGTTGTCTGCATTTTTAAACAAGCCCAGGGTGCCGGTGTCACTGTGTCTCAGCACAGACTAAACTGTTTGGTTTCAGCCGCGGGGTCCCCTGGGGGTAAACTGCGCTTCCTGTGGCCCTGGGCTGACCATCTGGCCTGACCTGGCTGGACCACAGGAGGAGGGCAGGGACCTTCTTTGGCTGGTTGGTGGGTCACTGGTCCACCCCAGGTCCAGCTCTGTTGAGGTGCAGGGGCCACAGGGGCCATTTGCCTGGCTGGGATCCCCAGGTTTCCCTGTTCTGCCAAGCCGTGTCACTTGACTTCTGTCCCTGTGACTAAATACCCAAAATGACCAAATGGAAAGGATGGAAAGTTTATGTGGGCTCATGGTTCCCATATGTGGCCTGTGGCTTGGCCCCGTGGCTTGGGCCCGTGGCAGCACAGAGCTTCCCAGCAGGAGCTCATGGTAGAAGAGGCTGTCGCAGACGGGTTACCCCAAGAGGTCCCCCACCTCTGGAGAGCTGGCTGGCAGCTGGGGCTTCACCACCTGAGCCTTGGGCAACCTTCCAGATCCAAACTCCACAGGCCCTCGCAGCCCTGCCAGTTCCTCGACAGTCTGCCCACCTGCTTTGGACCCTCAGTAGGGTGGGCTCCTGGCCTGCGCCTGCCCTCAGTGGGCTTTTCCTGCGTGGCGGTGGGCTTGCGGGTGCACCCTGCTGTTTCACTACACTCTCTCTCGGGTGGGTTCAGCTGAGGCCTGTTCTGCGGTGATCAGTTCAGGCGATGGCTGTGCTTCTTCGCCCAGTTGGGGACCTGAACGGACCGCTGGCCTGCCTGCCTGGCCTGTCCATGTTCCTACCAGGTTTTCAGCAGTCTCTGCTGAGGGGGGGCAGTCATGGGGAGAGGAGGCACGGGCTGGAGGCTGGACCAGGCAGACTCCAAGGCCACTGCAGGTTCTGGAGCCGATGGGGTCCTGTGGGGGTCAGGATGCCCTAGAGTTCAATCTGAGAGGAGTGGCCAGGGCGATGGGGACCGTGGAGGTCAGGGTGCCCTAGAGTTCAATCTGAGAGGAGTGGCCAGGGCGATGGGGACCGTGGAGGTCAGGGCTGGGGACCGTGGAGGTCAGGGTGCCCTAGAGTTCAATCTGAGGGGAGTGGCCAGGACGTTAACCCAGATTGGGATGAGGACAGGCTTCCTGCCTCCGCCAGCCCTGCTTGGGACCCGGGCCATCCTGGGAATCAGCATGGGGCCTTCTTCCTGTAGGCTGAGTCACAGGCTGCCTGCTGAGTCACACCGTGGGGGTGGACCAGGCCCCCTCAGCTGGGATGTGTGCTATAGCCAGCACCTGTGCCCTGCCTTGGCCCCCAGACCCCGGGGCCAGGCAAACTTAGACTGTGGAAGCAGATGGAGCCCCGTCCCCTTCCCCAGAGGTCCCAGCCGTAACCTACCTGTTGGTGACATGTAGCTGAGCCCTGGAGACTACTGGCCCTCCCACCACCCACATCCCCAGGGCCTGTGGAGAGACCCAGGCTGGCTATCGCATCCCTGCCAGCTGGCTGCTGCTCACCCACCAGGGGACAGGTGTCACCTGCCTCTGAGCCTCTTGAACCTTCACACTGTCATGAAGACACCTCACCCTGATCCCTCCTCTCGGAACCTCTGCCCACTGCCCTGTGCCCAGAGAGGGGCAGTGCCTTCCCAAGGCCACACAGCCCTGGAGCCTGCCCTGGACTCCTGCCCCG